ATCCGTGTGGCGGCGAGCAAAGCAATCATGCCCTTCTCCCCTCGCCGACGAGGAGCCACTTCTGAAGCCATCAGCTCTGATTGGTCGGTGGTTTGTCCCGCTGGGTTGGTTGCCCCGTTCCGAGGCCTTCGACTCCTGCAATAATTTTCCGCGGATTCAGAAGTGGAGACACATCAGTGGAGTGGGTGATAGCTGCAGATTTTCTTTTTTCCTGCTTCATGGTAAAGCTTCTGTTTTAACGACGAGGTCCTGACCTTCAATAAAGATTGCAGCGTTAGCAAGTCAATTAATGTTTTCAGCTGAGATCATTAAGACGTAGCCTCGGCTTGTCTGTCTTGTCTGTCCTGGCAAGCTGATGCGGGGGCCATTACAGGAAAGAGTGGACCTGTTGTTCTCGTGCGGGTTAATGAATGTCCCATGCACAAGGGAGGCAGAGTGGGAGGGAAGGCAAAGAAAGAGAGACCATTTTATTTCAGCAAGGTATGTCCCCTCCAGGCTCGGAAAAAGTAAGTCGGGGATCAGCTTGTCTCGTGCCCCCCTTGTACAAATGTTAATGATGTTTTTCCACAGCCCCGAGTGACAGTTTGTTCGCCAAGACTCGTTAACACGTGAGGTCTCCGGAGTTTTCTGACAGCTGACAACAAAGTCCTTTTTCCTGCTAAGTCCCCCCGGGCCTCACAGAAGCCGTCCCAAGTCCGTTGTTTAGGCCTCTCCACTTGTGTTACCCGGAGATGTTTTGACATGTGGTAGGTGACATGTTTTCGTGCGATAGCGAGTTGCACTGTGAGAGCCGCGTGAAGAGAAATGCCGGAGAAAAGCGCACGGCATTCTTTCTATGCACAGCTCTACCAAAGGGAGTGATGGCAAAGAAAGAGCTGTTGTTCTGGGGGTTTCCACAGCATGCTTGAGCTTATAAATGGTCTGATTAAGAAACCCCACCAATTGTATGAGACTCATACAGTCTGTCATAGTGTTATTCCATTGCCTCAGATTGTATTGCTTTTATGGAGCCATATCAAGCGGACATTTATAGAGGGAGGACAGATTGTTTCCATGGGAAAGCTTCGGGCAATATAACTGTTATATTGTTAGGCCGTTGGTTTGTCGCCTTCTCTTTGGCTTTGCAAGGAGGGCTAATGTTCTCGTTTGACACTGGCGGATTGCTTTCTCTCTGTGCCTGAAGAGAGAAGGCAGGCTAATACATTTGAGTCGGTGAAGCGAAGGTCGTTGAGAATTACATTCACCCCCCTCCCCTCCTCAGCCCCCTACCCCTTTTCTTTTTTCCCTGTAATTTCCCCGCTGGATTGGCAAACGCTTTTCACTATTAGCACTGTGGTAGGCAGCTCACTGCGTGTGTGTGTAATCGTCTGAGTGTGTGTGTTGTGGCGTGCTGGCAGGCCCACCCAGACCCGAAGCAGACTAGACCGATAAATAGATGCATGTCTCAACTGGATTGTACTGTCATGAGGAACAGGAGTGATATGATGTAGAATACCATGTTCTTCTTTTATGATCCTGAATAGAGGTTGTTAACTGTCCCGTCTTCCCTGAGGATGCTCAACCCCTAGAAGCAGGTCCCCACAGGTGTTCAGAGCGATGAATTAGAGGTACATTTAACACCGCTGGCAACAGGAGAGCCTTTTTGCGGAGCCCTCAAACTGCCCTGCCAAGCGTTCGCCGTAATGTCTTCCAGATGATAAGGGCCTGGATGGATCTGTGTTCGCAGGGCGAAGCGTGTGGGCCCACTGGAGCAGAACCGCCGGAGTTTTGGCGGACACACCAGTCATTTAGGCACCAATAGAGACATTTTCGAGAAGGAGGTCTCTCTCTTTCTCGCCTTGCACAGTGAGGACCCCCGGGGGCGTATTCTCTCTTCCATCTGCATCCTCTCTCCCGCTATGCTGCCTTTTACGAGGGCCATCCGATCTGATGATAAAGCACCGGGGTAAAAAAAATGCAACAAACAGCTTTTGTGGAGGTGCGAGGAGTCAAAAGTAAATAGGAGTATTCCTGGCTGACAGGGAGTTTGTGAGGACAGGAGAATTGAAAACATTGGTTGCCTGTTTTCTCTATAATCACGCTACACTGGACACAATGTGCACAATGCTCTGCATGTACACACGTTTGCACATTCATCATGCATATGTGTACACACAAACAACAAAGCCGCACACTTGAGCTGTACAACAGCTTGCTCTTCTCCCCTTCTTCATCTCAATGATGCATCTCAGCATAAATTTTTTAGGCGTCTGGCAACGCTCAGCTTTTGGCAGTTGCTGGGTGGAGTAAGGGGGTGGGGGGGGCAGAAACGGAGGCTCTGAGGTGAATTATAAGTCTGCTGATAGAACAGAGCAGGGCCACAGGAAGATTGATGCTCTCCGTTGTGAGCTGGGAACCAAAAGATGGAGAGGAGAGGAGTCAGGAGAGGAATCGGGAGAGAAGAGAAGAATCAGGAGATGAGTTAGGAGAGGAAATAAGGAGAGGTGAGGACCTCCAAGCAGAGAAATTGATAGCACAAATTAAATAAAGATAATAATAATATAGAGAAGGCAATAACTTTAAAAAAATGTTTACTGCAAAAAAGTATGAGTTTTGTAACTTTAAATGTTTTCATCGTAAATATTTGCTCCGGTGACTAAACTAGACGATGGCATGGTTATAACAGAAAGAAACCCGATCCCTGCAACACGGGAGCCCATTAAACTAAATAATGAGTAACTCCCCAGCCATTTAACCGCAAAGCTAGCAGGGGGGGGGATAGCATTGTAAACACCACGTGAAACTAGTTTTTTTTTTGACTGTGCTGCAGCTGATAAAGTAGCTGAAACAAAGTGGTACTTGTGTGAGCCCAGCCGGGGCTGTTGCAACAGCTGGTGGTCCGGCGACTAGAGAGGAAGATGACCTGGTCTGAAATCACAAGACGGGGAGAAATGAAGAGAGGCCAAACAGCTCGGGCAGGGGATTAAACACAGAAAAGAGGATTTCCAAATTATATGACGAGCCCAAGAAGGGGGGGAACAAGATCTTTCCTGGACTTTCCTTGATGAGATTTGGGTGTGGATCCTGAAAAGTGGAAAAGCAGAGCAAATGGCTGGCTGTCAGGGCCTACTGGCAATCATTAGTTTTATAAACAGACAGAAGAAGAAGAAGAAGAAGAAGAAGAAGAAGAAGAAGAAGAGGAGCTTGATGCATGGTGACAGCTCCATATCACCACAGATCACTCCATCCGAGCAGAAAGGGGAGTGAAGTCATCCATCCACTGCACCTCCTCAGGGGACCCAATTTCAAGGAGTGCCACTTCTATCCAGCTCTACATTTAGTTACATTCTGTCTCTGCCTCTCTCAATAGCTGACTCTTACTATTGTTATATTTTGCATTTTTAAAAATAAACCTGATGATAGCCCTTCCCCACAAATCACCTCTAGTAACTTGATTTTTGTTTTCGCAAATAGGTTTTATTTTAAATTTGAATCAGGTGAAGGAAACCATTTTTGTTGGGGAAAAAAACTGGTAATTTGTGCGTGTGGATACAAGTCAGGCCCCACCTGAGGGAATTAGCCCCCCCCCCCCCCCCGAGCCGTCATTCAAAGTGTAAATCACCTTTTTGTGTGAAATCCTGCGCATTAACTGAATTTGAAATCGCTAAGGAGACGTGATGTTTTGACAGTAATTTGGGAATCGAGTAAAACTATGAAAGTAGGCCCCTTTGCCCGGAAGGCGCATATTTTCTGAGGAAGGGAGGAGGAGACAGAGAGAGCATGTGTGTTCACCGAATGTGCCCGCAGACCTGCTGCACATTATACTTGCATACATCAGAATTAATTTCTCGATTTTACAGTGAGCGAATTGCAGATTTTTTATCCATGTGGCGATGATGAAGATGGAGGGCCGTCTCAGCGGTGTTTGGGCAGGAATATGTTCGATAAGTGGCCCGCAGAGCTGAACAAAGTTGGCGGGACACGGTGCGTTGCGGGCAATTAGGAAATTGTGGAAACCCGAACCTGAAATCTGCTTTCTGGAGCGGCTCTCGCCCCGTTGCTCACAGTCAAAACACAGCATGGAAAAGTCATCTGAACCATCATGCAAACACACACACACACACACACACACACACACACACACACACACA